GACAGTCCACAAACTTTATCTCATCTTAAATCACATTACATAAATTGCCTGATAAAGAAATAAGGTATTTAAAACAATTCACTTGGAAACTCAACATATACCTTAATGCACTTACCAATGAGAAAATCCCGAATAATCATAGGTCTATTCTTTTTTCCTTTGGATTTTCAACCTAAGATGAAGAACTGGATCTTCCTTCACTGTATTAGACACCTAAATTACATAGACGTCCTTACAAACAATGTTGTATTGCTGTGTCTGTCATTGGCGATCAACAAACAATCAGCTTTCAAATGGGAACCAACTGTGCTCCTCTTTTTGCCAACTTTATTCCTGTGTTCATATGAGGGAAACATCATACATAAGCTTCTTGGAAGAGTGAAAAGAATATAGCATTATCCTTAAACTTCAGGTTCCACTACATAGATGATGTTTTCTCACTGAATAATACAAAGTTAGGTGACTATGTCGAATGCATCTATCCAATTGAACTGGAAATAAAGGATAACACAGATCAAGTTAAATCTGCCTCATTACTTGACTTACATCTATTAATTGTCAAGACGGGTCGATGGAGAACAAAACTTTATAACAAAAGAGATCATTTCATTTTCCCCAACTGTGAAATTTTCATTTCTATGTAGCAACATTCCTGCAAATGGAGTATATTTGATACCAGAGCTTGCATTTCCTATCATGATTTTCTTGCAAGAGTGTTGCTACTAACAAGGAAGCTATTAAGGTTCATCATAAACTTTTGGCTGAACTGGCCGTGTTTACATCACACATTTTACTTCGAGGACAGGCAAACCTGTGCACCTTGAAAAGTTTTAAGGCATGGCAGGAACTACAATGAAATAGAGAATTAAATTTTAAATGCATTTTATGTTTCAGAAAATTATAAACTTTTCTGGATTTTGAGGTTCATTTTTTTTTGTTCACAGAAGGTGCCAAAATAAACTAGTTTGGAAAAAGGTTTGAGATGTTCCCCTATGTAAATAATTGTAGTGAGTTGTATTGATTAACTGGACAATAGATACCTTCACTACAATAGGTGATTTAAACTGTGGAAATGAGTGGGCAATATCAAATGAAGTCAGGTATTTGTTTATTTTAAAGTAAAGTAAGTAAAGTAATCTTTATTTAAAGTTTGGTTGCATATATACATAATAACAAGGAACATTTTAACACCTTCTGCAGGCTTAAAAAAAAAACAACCTCAAATTCCAGGTAAGTGTTTAATTTTCTGAAACATAAAATGCATTCAAATTTTATTTACCTAGTTCCTGCCATACCTTAAAACTTTTCTAGGTGCACAGGTTTGTCTGTACTCAAGAGTAAAGTTTGTTGTGTAAACACAGCCATATTTTTCAATTTCTTCTGATGAACCTTAAACCAAAGGTTCAAAGTGGTAAAGTTGAAGTCTTCCATTTGAGAATTTTATGTACCCCATCTAGAGTTGGTTGACCACTATGAAATATATGTTTCAGAGGTAATAGGACTAATTTCAGAATGAACACGAATTAGATAATATGTTACATTTATCAGGTTTTCTGCATATTGATACTGTTGAATATCAGATGCGAGTCACAATATAAAGCCTTTTGTTTTTGTTGTAGGTGAACAAAGCCAATCTGTTCAAAGAGGCTTCATATTATATCAAGCAGCTACTATATTACATTATTAATATGATGAAAATATGATAATCAATTTATCTGTTGTATTTGAGCGTTCTTCATTTTCGATTTCGATAGCATAACAAAAGAGGACTTAGCGTCAAACTTATCTACAATAAGCAACAATATACAATTTAATGAGGAGCTGAGCAGAGTGATACAGGCCAAGGGAAGACCAATTTGGCCATTCACAAAATTATTTAAATATTTTTTTATAAAATTCTTTTAAAATAAAACCTGCTAAGGGCTGTTCTATTAAAGAAACATCATACCAGATCGCACTTTGAAAATGGTTTCGCATCCACCTATTGTTGAGATTTTGAAGTGCCTCACCTATATCCCATGTGCATTTTAAGGAAAAGCACTACAGTTTACTTTTTCCATGTGAGGGTTCCATATGTATACTTGTTTTCCAGGATTTTTTAAAATTCAAAATAAGGAAAGCACAACAGATGGCAAGTGATGGAAATAAAGTATACATTGCCATTAGGCTGTGAGCTATAAAAGCAGATAAATTAACAGTAAATAAGTATAACAGATCAGTTTGGATGATTGAATTATTTATTTACAAATGTTGTTGTTCACAAGCTGACTAGTGTCAGGAAAAAATAGCCGTTTTGCTGAACAATAAAATTCTAATATCAATCAGCCTATTATTTCCATATTTCTTTCATATTATGTGATTGTATAATACATAGCACTATACCTAAAAAATATTTGTCATAAACCCTATACTTTCAACACATAATATAAATTCACTTGTTTGACTCACCTGTCAAAAATATTGAATGAATAAGCAGAATCTATTTTTAACTTATCTTCATACTTTTCTTTCCAAAAAAAAACAAATCAAAGTTCCCTGGAAATTAATTGTTTAACAGGATAAATTATGAAAATTTCATACAAATTAATTTAAATGAAAATATTTCCCCAGTAAAATAAAAATAATAGTTTTGTACTGTAACTTGACTGTAAGTGTTGCTCTCCACCTATTGAAGTTTATTCAAAATTTTGACCAAATTGCAATTTGTTTGATCAAACTAAATTGTTCAACTGGTCTGAATTTTTAACAACCTGTTGTAGAAAACCACAGTCGTACTTGAAAGTAAAAGGTGAAAAAAATAAAGAATATTTACAATCCTTTTAGTCTTTAACTCCACATCACTGATAATATGAAAATGACACTAAGAATTTCTATACATCCTTTTATTGAAATTGTCATTCAAAAGGTGATAATTTTTGATATGCTAAAAAAATGTCAAAATTTAAGTTTTTGAATTATTTCCACTAAAAAGGTGTTTTTTAATGCATGCTACAAAGCTTTCTTTAAATGAATCTCTAAAATACTCGGTGAAATATACTTTAAGCTTTAATATGTTCTTGTGAAGTTTTAAAGGGAGATAAAATTAATTTTTCAAAAGATCAATGATTTTAGAATATAGAAGACTTTTTAAAAAAAAATTTGAATGAAAGCTTAGTTCAGACATTTTCATAGCAATTCAAAAATAACTACCTATCACCTTACTAATGACAATTACAATAAAAAGATGAAGTGGAGTAAAAGACTAAAAGGATTGTAAATATGCTTTATTTTATCACCTTGCATTTTCCACAGCAGTTCGTTACAATTTCTAACCAGTTATACAGTTTGGTTTGCTAAAACAAATTGCAATTTGGTCAGAATTTTCAATAAACTGCAATAGGTGGAGAGCAACACTTACAGTCAAGTCACAGTAATACAATGTATCATTAAATTTAATATTAAAGGAAGGCCTTGATTAATTCAATTTCTGAATTTTGAGGAATAAAAACAAGCACACAGTTTCTCATTTAATTTGTTTTCTATAGCAACCAAATACAATTGTACTTCAGAAAAAAAAAGACAAAATAAACCTGATCAAAGCGACATCTTCACAAAGATAATATGAGTAACATGACATACATACATGACTAAAAAAGACAATTACCTTCTATACTGAAATAAGAAATAGTGTGTAAAAAAAGATTAAAACAAAACAAGAAAGAAATGAAGAAAGAACAATAATAATGAAAGCTAAAAAAGAATAAGAAATACAGACTAGTGTTTAAAATGCCTTACGGTGTATTGCACATCTGAAATAAAATAAAGCAAGATAAAACTAAGCAAACAAATAAAACTAAACATATTCTTCTAACATAATGAGTATCCATTTCATTGCAATTGTTTTCTTGAAGCTTGACAAGATTTAATGTTAAACCTCTCTTAATTCATTTTAAATATGAGACAGTGATAAAGAATACAAAATCATAAAAAAATTATTTGAAAACATCATATAAAATTTACCCGTATATAACAATGTGGAGACTTCCATATGGGAGATAACTCAAAAACAATCTTCCATATAAAATTACAAAAATACTTATAAAAATGAAATTGATATACAAGTATTTCATAAAAAATATTACAGTCACTTTATCCAACAATTTTAATGCTAATACTTCTAGATCAAATATCTTTAGTATAACGTATAAGGACCATCAACAAGTTCATTTCACTATTAATACAGCTTTAAACAAACCTAAAAGTATGTTTCTCTTCAAGTTTATTCCATTAATACATGGCATATATAGAATTTAGTACCAAAATGTAATGAAAAGAGTATTTTTGTTTCACTTAGATTAATACAATGTCATACATACCCTGAAATAATGTCAGTAATCAACACTGACTTTCAATTATTTTATTCAAATTCCAATTTATTATGGTTAATACTGGTTGTAAAAGATTGGACACTAGAGCATATTTCCATCAACAAATAACCACAGCAGTGACTTCCTTTTAAGTCATAAATAAATGTGTTATATGACCTTACTGTTGGAAAAATTTAAAAACTATATGTCACAGTTTCAAAAACAGGAAGCATTTGAGAAGCACTAAGCTTTTCTCTCATCTTTCAACAGAAGAACAAATAATTTATACATTTTTTCCTAATGAACAAACAGGGTTTCATCCAGCAAATTAAGCTTTTCACTACACATTTTAAACCTTGAACATTATGCAGGTTATGTGAAAGAAATAGTCATCTCTTGAATACAGACTGCACTGACAATACCAAAGTCATGCAACCCATGCAAAAATTTGACAACTGTGATTAACTCAAAATAAGAGCCATGTTACAATCAACTTGTTATGTTATAAAGATATTGCTTAATAGATATGTGAAAGTTTATTCCTGTATTAAAACAGCTCATTGCAAGCTAATAACATCCTAACATACTTCCTTCATTTTATACTATCTAAAAATAGCATGAATGGTGTTGGATAAAAAAATATCAACTATTAAATCTTGTTTTCTAAATTTTATTTCAATATGTATGATTAATAAATAAATAAGGATGAAATTGTACATGGGTGATTTCTTGTTGGTGTGGGTATAAAAAGTATATTTTTTACAATTCAATATGATCATACACATTTGGTAACAAATTGTTTAATAAATAAGTTAAACAGGTATGTTTTTATTAAAACATACAGAGCACTGATTGTGTTAAATACAGTTCCAAGAAAGTTTATACAATAGAAACTATGTCATATATTTTCATGAAGTTTCACTCGATCTTTCTAGAAAACATCAACCATTATCATGTTCAATTAAGAAATTCATTCACTTTTGTATAAAAATTCTATCATATAAAACTCACAAAATGACACCTTTCATAACAAACATCTATTCATACATACAAAGAAATTTTCATTCTATAAAATATATCATTCAAATAACAAATTCCACTTCTTTCATATTTTCATTACATCATATAATTTAGTATCAAGGCACTAGTCCATCCATGGTTGAGCTGTGTAAATGTTTCTGAACTACATCATGGCCATTCCCTGGCAGTTAATTACTGCGATGAACTTTTGTTATACCTATGGAAGACGACTGTTAACATTGGTGTGTCCTTTTCACCCTTTTTTACTTCACCAAGGCCATTCTCTAGACTTTCTTGGCAATGATTTACTTCGCCGAACTTTTGTAATCACTATAGGAGAAGGCTCATCTTCTTTATATGGGTAAGTAAAATCTTTTGGCTTCTGAAATAAATAATAAAAATGTTAATTTAAAAGTTCATCTAGGGCTATAAAAAATTTTAAATGTTTATGCATAGCTGTGAATGTAAAAAAATAACTGCAACATCAACTTTTTTAAGACTGTTTTATGTTGGTTACTGCTGATTATTGTTGTGTTTATGCTGTGTTCCAGTTGTATTATATATACTAAATCATTTTCGGTGAAATACATCAGTAGATGATTCCATCATATTAATTTTTTCTTAAACAACAATTTAACTTTGCTTAAAGTATTCGGCGATAATAAATATATGAACAATTGAGTCAAGTTGATTCAGAATACCGTAGAAAGGCTTGTATAGTCCGCAGTTTTATTCTCCAAATTGGACCTTCCAGACGGGGTGCGGACTATAGAGTACAATAAGCAAGAAATAAGAGAAAAATTTCAATTTCGCGGGCGAGGTGGTATGTTTACGTTCCGCCATCTTTGTTATTTATATTGTAGAGGGCGCTCTTATCATTTTTCAAACTAATAATTTTAACTCATCCATATTAATAAGTTATTTCTATTCAATATCAAATTAATACTGATAAATATAAAAACTAAACCTTTCATTACAAATTTCTATTTCTTTTCAATGCATTGGTTGAAATAAACTGGTATCTGCTTGATTGAAACGATACAAACATAGTGAAAAAGACAACCGTAAACCAGCTTAAAATTTGTAAACTACTAAACGTAATCGGTTATTGTTCGTTCCGTTTTGGTGTTTCATACTGACTAATATGGTTTGTATTAGCTTAAGACCCTTTAAACCTTAATGTGATAGATATATTAAAGACTGTTTTAAAAAAGGATGGAACTGTTTTACTTTCAAAGTCGTATTATAGTGATATCTGTTATGTACGGATTTCGACTCTCACCGGTTAATTTCTTCTTTTACACGTGCTTTTTAAACTTCCTGTTTAAACATACACAAGTTTCTAAATTATTTTTTAAGTGAATTAAACTTATTTTAACAATCATGAAGCGTTCTAGAATCATTTACAAGTAGTTTCAGCTTCTGTTTGATGATGGAAAACAGGTTTTTCAAAGAAAATACCGCAAACGACCGCACAGGATTTGAAATTACCGGAGTTTCATTAGACCTTTTCTAACAGTTACAAAAAGTTTTTTTACCTAAAATTTCGTGGGGAGAAGGGGGTGCGGACTATGTACCAGTGCGAACTATACAAGCCTTTCTACGGTAGTCAAACCATACAGGAGTTCAACGTTAATCATTGATAAACAAGAACATATTCCACATTGATCTTGTTCAAAGTTAAAACAATTTTTAATATTTAAAAAAACCAAACAATGAAGCCATTACTGTCAACAATCCCAGGGTAATGGGATATATCTTGACATTTTTTTCAACAACAATCATCATTACTGTTGTTTGAGTGTTGTCAAAAACAATGATATTATGTATACAATAAATCATTACAAATTATTTTGTCAAACCTCCTTTATGGTATCTTCAAGCAATTTATACTGTGCTAAGTTAACTTGTACCATCATCAACCTTTTAAGAATAAATAATGTTAACAAACCTGTTGTAATATAGGTCTGGGTAGGGAAGGTTGTTTTGATTGAGGTGTATGGTGTATCTTCTCATCTGTAAACAGGTCATGATTCCAGGCTACTTTACTGGCTCTCTTTGGAGCTGAAATAATAATTAAAACAACCAATTACATTATGTGTCACTTAATTGAGTTCATAGGTTCATACATTTTATCGAAAAAATCATCTACAACAAATATTCTAATTGATATCCTCCCCTACATGAATATTATACAATTACTGTCTTTTGATGAGGTAAATGTGTGGTTTTATTGACTTTTGAAAAACTGATATTCACTGAGGCCAACGGCTGAAGTGAATGTCACTAGGTTTTTCAAAAGTCAATTAAACCACATATTTACCGAAACAAAAGACAGTAATTGTTTTATTCCATGTTCCGAGAGAAAAATATGTTTAAAATAACAGTTATTTACCAAAACCAACTAAACGTCATACATTGTACCGTTATTATACACGTTAAAGCACACGACGTTTTGCGCGGTGAATATACCTTTTCCGCAGGTGAATATGCTTATTTATTCAAAATCCCATTCATATAGAAAAACCTACTAAAGTTCTTTCAATATGGAATAAATAGGTTAATTCTATGTCAAACTCTTATTGGAAAGCTGTTTATATTACATTTTCATTTTATGAGATTATGAAATTAAAATCATTTTCAAATCCAAATACTGATAATCCAAAATAGTAGTAACTATAACACTACGACATAAAACGTGTGAAGTATACTTACGAGGAAAATGTTTGAAGTTAAGAGGAATATCATTGAGATCCAGATACTGTACAGTTCTCTGACCATTACATATCGTGTGGATCTTTGTTATAGTGTCAATCTCTTCTTCACTCTGTTTGGAATATAATACGGTTTATAAGTTATACAGATAAACATAGAAATATAATTCTTATATCTACAAAGATGTAGAAATTTTACAGGTAGATATGTATTTTTTGAAATATCAATCAAAATAAATGCATGAAAGGTAATTGACTTTAAGTTTTAATTGCATAAATGCTGTCTAATTGGGATTCCAAAATTATTATTTGCATGAATTCAGTCAATAATTAACATTGCTTTCATGTCAAAACTATATAATTGTTCTTTAAAATTGAGAAAGGAAAATGGGAATGTGTCAAAGAGACAACAACCCGACCAAAGAGCAGAAAACAGCCGAAGGCCACCAATGGGTCTTCAACACAGTGAGAAAATTTGCATGTTTTCAAAATTCTATTAAAAGTTTGTTATCCTGTGTGAGTTTTGAACAATAATTTAAGTGAACTGATAAGACTTACCAACATCCTGGTCTTTTTACTGTGGCATGCAACATCTGAGGCAGATTGACATTTTACTGAAGGCTGAAAAAGAAGAATATATTACTTTACCATGTCAGAATATTGAGACTGTAATAAACATATGTAAACTTGTTGTTATCAAGTCTCCATGAGCAAAATGCATAGATAAGTGAGTAAATGATCTGAGCAAATGCTTTAAGTTCTTCTCAAAACATCTTTCAGAAAATTCCCTCTATGCTGAATAGGCAAAACAAGTAAAAAAAGGTTAATGGTTGTAAAATGAAACTAAAATAATCGTAGTGAATAGTTCTGCATCCATATTTTAAACCATGATTTTCATCCTGTATCAATAATTTTATGCCCGGCCTTTTATCATGAAATAATAACTTAAACAAAATTATTAACCATTTTAAATGTGTTATACACATGTACCTATTCAGACTATTATTTATTCATTCTCTAAATATAATCAAATCATAAAGAATAAACTGAATTACCTTATTGTAAGAGTTATCTACCCTTTCTTTAAGAACCACCTTGTCCTTTCTTGTCATCTTTGTATCAGATGACTTTACTTTCCTCTCAGGGACACTCTCAGCTACAAAATAAATGGAAATAATAAAATCTCTACTTTAAAGTATGCTATTTAAGAATATAGTAAAACCATAGAAAATGCAGACAACAATTATTACAAGCTTACTGATTTTTTCATATTCTTTTAGGATACTAATTGCTTACATACTGTAGCAATAAAAAATTCTATTCCCACTGCTTTCAATTCTAAGGGTCTCCCTCTGTAACTCTTTAGAAAACAATATAATTTACAGTCAATGTTTGTCTTACCTTGTTTTCTAAGAACAAGAACTTGTCGTTTCATTTAAAGCCTAAATTGACAATCCAGTTGTGTCATCTACTGTAATACTACCATTTATGACATACAACTTATATTTCCAGTTTATATAGCCAGCAATGTAAATAATTGTCAATATTTGTCATCAAGAAAAATCTAGAATTTTCAAGTCACATTTCCCAATGGATTTATTTAATTGACATTTCATTTGAACTTCTATGGAAATGACGCTAGTTTTATTACAAAGTTGAAGTGTAAATTATGTTACAATTGGTTAACTGGAAATTTCCAATCATAAACAAATGGAATATTGGTATAGTTTTAGACCATTCAACTACATGTAGATTTTCTGGTACTAACAACTTTTCTCTGTCTTTTTTCAAATGGTTCACATAAACCAAACTATGAAGACATTGGTTTGTTGCACATAATAAAATATTTATAATTAATTACTATTTATATATATATAATTAGGTGGTTGAAAGAATTGTTTAACCCGAAAAAATGTTAACTGAGACAATAAGTATATAATTAATACTGTCTCAGCACTGAAAAGGATCTTGATTTATATTGCATTATTGAAAGACAAGATTGAAATTTTTTAAACTACTGAATATATTAAAATATGCCAAGTAATTAGATTTTGAATAGCTGAAGCCATGGTCTTATAAATATATGATTCTTTTTGTCCAAAATTAAACATCCTCAAAGCAACAAACAGAGCAAGCAAAGGCATACTACTGCAATGTACCATGTACATCAGTTGTATACGTGTATGTATATTGTGTAAGTTTTACTTTCAAACAATGAGCGATCTGTGAGGACTTCAGGGTGTTGTTACCACTGAACTTTGGAATAATGTATATCTTTCATGTCTTGGTTACATTTTGCTTTTTGTATTGAAGATTTTATAATATGAACTGTACATCTAAAAAAAACAAATTACCTTTATGAATTTTTCTGGTTTTAGCCTCAGCTGTTTGATAAGGTGCAGGAACAAATGTTGCCATGGAAAAGTCATCAAGGTTTGTCTCTAGTTGGGTAGATGAAACATTAGACACAAGGTCATCAGAAATTAGAGATGTATCCATGGAATTGTCAAGACAGGATGATGATAAGGATGAATCACTATCGTTCTCTTCACCAAAGTATATACCAATGATCTGATTACACAGGTCTGATTCTGTCACATCTCGACTCGTCTGTAACAAAGATTCTGTTGATGACACATCTGGTGTTTTGTCATAGTCATTGTTCTCTATCCAGAAAGCTGTTTTCTCCATTGATTGACGAACTTCCAAAGGACTCTTACATGTATCAATATCAATTTCACAGTGATTTTCTGCCATGCTATGTGAACGAATTTGTAAAGCTGGACTGTTACTGACAACCTGTCTTGATGATCTAGGGTTATCAAGAGGTTGGGAAATGTTCAGTCGTTTGTTGAATACTAATTGAGGTTTATTAGAACAATCACTCTTACTTCGATGAAGTTTTTTCACACTGTTACCTAACTTGATACCACTACGACCTCTAAAACTACTACCACTACTATCACTTCCTGAACGTGATCTTGAAAAACTGCTACTGTCACTATCAGTCAATGGTTCACAAAAATTATCACATAAAGACTTGTTCACTGTCAAACTACTAGAGGATCTTAATGGCAAAGTGTTTGTATTTTTCGATAAAATCACAGAGTTGTTATCAACTGAAGAAGATTTTTTCAGTGAGGATGTCTTGTTCCATTCTAATGGCGGCCGCTTTGGGAGAACTCTTTTGGGTGAAGCTTTTAATTCAGGAACACATATTTTACTTTTGCTTTTTGCACCTTTATTTGAAGCAGAATCAGTCTTTTTGCTGCCTTTTATAAATTTCCTCAATGATAAGTCTAATTTACTGCCTTTTTTCATAAACTTCCTGAGTGAGAGATTCAGTTTACTATTACTTCTAACTAATTTCTTCAATGGTTTACTGTTCTTGTCAGTTGCAACATTTTTTGGTGGTAAAATTGAAGAATTTAAGCACTGAGTTTGTCTGAAATATTGGTCAGATTGTTCACTATCGGAATCAGAATCAGTGTCAGAATCAAATTGTCGTCTTCTATGTGATTTAGTTTTGCTACCAGAATCTGAATCACTTTCAGTATCACTCTGTGCAGGTGTTCGCTGTAGACTGTCCTCACTGTCTGAATCAGAAGATTCTGAATCACAACAGGAACCACAAGTACAAGAAGAATTATTGTCACTTAATGTACAAAAGGATGATGCAGAATTATTATGTGTAAATGTCAAATTTTCATACTTTGAATTGTCTTTCTCATGCTTTGGGTTAGCTTCATCTAATAATAAATCATCTTCTGGCGAAGCAATTGGTGCACGGCCGTGAGGTTTACAGTTTTTATCATTCATTACTTCATAGGAACTACCTAAACTTTCTATACTACTCAGACTACTTGTAGATATTTGACCACAATCTACTCCACTATCAATAGAAACTAAAGTATCTAAACTGGAAATACTACTCCTTGATGAACCCTTCACTTGTGTATCAGTATCATGGTTGCTCCTATACAAAACAGAATCAGTGTCTCTACAAACATTTCCTAAAACAATCATCTGTTCCTGAGGTACATCATTTTCTGAGCTGACAGTCGTCTTTTTACTTTTACGGAATCCAGGGATAAACAATACAGTGCGACGTTTCTGGGTTTTCTTCATCTTCTGGTCACTGCCTTCATCTAAGAATACGTTGTCGTCTTCTTCCTCTTCTGTGCTAATTCTTCTGCAAAAACAATAAATAAAATGTAATCATGTGTAAATTTTTGGATTAAGTGCCTTGTAAGGTTAACATAAATTTTTCAACTATTTTCCAATCCTCTACATTTAAAATTCTTTTTTCCCTAAGCCAGCAAATTTTAAAATTATATATTCCTCATATGCATAAAAGTATTTACATCCTTATTATACTTGTAAAAGTTGTATGAACTCACAATAATTCAACATTTCTCAGCTTTAGTCAGATGATATTTGTGTCCTGTTATTGTCCAGTAAAAGCCAGAAAAACAACATATTTACAAATCACAGGCTATTTTCTGATTGCTATCTAATCAAATCTTATCATTTTTCCTGGGGACTTCAACAAGGATATGTTATATAGGTTCCCATTACTTATCATGTTACTTTAATAAGGTTTAATAAAAAGATAATTTAAATAAGCAATGACATCATAAAATAAATTCTTTACATATATTGAAATTTAAAAAAGGTTAAAGTTTACAATCCAAACTATTTTCCTGCCATTTCCCCTTTGAAGCCCCAATTTACAGGTCAAACATCTGATAAGAAGCACACAGATGACAAAGCCATGCAGACAACCTGAGGCCATACAACTCTATTTCCAATCATTTAAGAGGATTACTAGTTTAACAATTAAACCAACATTATAAGTATAACATGACCATCAATGCCTCTATCATTTCCTGCTTTAAAAAATGTGAAACAATTTACTATTAACCAACTGTAGTATCCATTTTCTCTTGTTTGAAAATTCCACAGAAAAGTGTTTTTTTAAAATGATTATTTTTCATTTTGAATATTTAAAACAATTAAATTATGAATTTCCATTGATTTACCTAAAAAAAAACATAAATTAGCAATTCAACAGTTTCTTAATTTTTGCTGGACAATCTTTTGTAACATACAAAAATGTACAAATATATTTTGTAATTTAAATTTTATGAGAGGTACAAATTATAAGACATAGATTTATTAACCAAAATTCTTTGAAACTATCTCAAATTAAGGTCAACACATCATCCATACCTGTACAAGACAAATACTGGACTCTATTAAAACCTGAACTTGTGGAAGCTTTTAGAAAGTGACATTTTGCAATTAGAAATAAACATCAAATAATTGATTTAAAGAATTTTTGACATTTATATAGTATAAAAATGACACCAATCGCTCACCTTTACCTGACTGGTAACTCTTTAATCAGCTATGATTATTTTAAAGTTCCATCACTGATACATTGAATATTCATATATCAATATCTTTTGCAAATTAAGAAATAAAAATAGATCTTACAAAATTTTTAAAAAAATCCTGACGTCCTCTCAGGTTTTTATTTGTACTGTAAACTTTCCACTTAAAAGATTTTTTTCACTACATACAAATGTGGCAAGTAATAAACATTATTTCCCTTTATTCATTTGCAAATTAATTCAATCTCTTCTGAAGTAATATAAGTGAATTTCTCACCTAATTTCCCTGTCTTTGTGAACTAATTTTCATCAATTTGTGGAATTGCTTTAGGTCAAGTTCCTCATTAACAATTATTTAACTACAAGTTATAATTATGTTCAATCTTTTCACTTATTTAAAAAATGAGTGTGTTTTGAAATGGACAATTCGCCTAATGATATTTTTATACTGGCACCAAAATATCCAAACAGCCAGTTTATTCCACCAATACTTGCAAGTTGTACTCAAAAATTGTCTATCAACTGAATATTACTATGTAGATAATTATTAAAAATAACATTTCCATAACATGTTCCCTTTTCAGATATTAATTTGACAGCTTGGGGTTCTCAAACTCAAAAGTCACTAGGAAAACAAAAATATCACACAGATATTTGGTATAATTAACGGGTAATTATTTAATTGTTTTGATTACAAAGGTGATAAACTCCACAGGTATAATAACATTTATCTTTACTTATCTCAGAAAATTAAATCCAAGCTACTAATTTATTGAAGTTGTTGACTTTGTAATTCACAGGTTTCTGAGAAGTGTGGAAAATCATTCAAACCACCTAGTAATGGGAATTATTTTAATCCTTTCACTTTATGTTGTTTAGGTAGGCATGTATATCACAAATGTTATTATATTTCAATTTATATATCTACCACTGGCCATATAAGTTGATAGGCAAGAGCAATAATATGAATTTTGCTATGAAAAAGTTCTCAAATAAAAAAAGTGAATAAAATTGTTCCTATTCCAGCCTGTGGTTATAAAATTTAATTTACTCAAGCATTTCTAAAATCTTACATCATTTGAGTTGAGGAGGGAAAATCTTAAAAAATATTTTTCTAGTGCTTGTAAATACCAAAATTTCTTTCCTCATGCCTGAATTTATTAGGCAATGTTACTTATGACACAATTGTAAATAGTGAAAGAATAGAGTGTAGGAAAAAAGTCCCATAAAACACTACAGAAGAAATGGTCACAATAATGAAAGAAAAGGTAAATGGAGAGTGTGTCCATGGGACAAAGATGATGCATACCCTCACTTGCATATCATATGATCAGAAATCAGGGTCAAAATCTTAACAAATAAATGTGGATAGTGTCCACATGTGTACACAGATGATGCCCCCACTTGCATATCATATAGTTATAAAGGGACATAACTGAAGAACGGTAAAAGTGACGCTACCTAAATTTGAACTTGATCCGAGTTTTGTGGTAATAAGCATTGTGTGTAAGTCTCATAACATTTGGTTGAGGCTAACTTAAGTAGAGAACAGAAACTTAAAATTCAACATAACTCTAGAACGGATGTGTATAAGTTTTATAACATTTGGTTGAGACAAACTAAAGTTAGACAACGGAAATGAAAAATTCAGCAATTTTTATGTTTATAAAGGGACACAACTCAAGAATGGTAAAAGTGTTGCCACCAAATTTTGTACTTAATCTGTATTATGTAGTAATAAGCATTGTGTACAAGTTTCATATCATATGGTTGAGGCACTAAAGTTAGAAAACGGAAACAAAAAATTTGTACTTGATCTTAGTTTTGTGGTAATGAATATTGTGTATAGGTTTCATAATGTTTGGTTGGGGCAAACTTAAGTTACAGAATGGAAACTTAAAATTTTGCAATCTTTCGAGTTATAAAGGGCATAACTCAATAATGGTTAAAGTGACATTACCCAAATTCAACTTGATCTGTGTTTTATCAGTGGAGGTCAAAATTAAACATTGCATTGTATAAAGCATTGATTGTAGTTGATTCAATTATAATCATGGACAAAGGAAGATAACTCCAATTTTAATAAAAATTACTTGATATTTAGAAGAAAATAAAAATTTTGCAATTTTTCCATTTATAGAGAGGCATAACTCTAGAACAGTTAAAGTGACACCACCAAAATTCAAACTTGATCTGTGTTTTGTGGTAATAAGCATTGTGTACAAGTTTCATTACATTTGGTTGAGGCAAACTAAAGTTGGAGAAAAGAAACGAAAAATTCAGCAATTTTTCCATTTGTAAAGGGGCATAACTCTAGAACAGTAAAAGTGATGCCACCAAAATTCAAACTTGATCTGTGTTTTGTGGTAATAAGCAATGTGTATAAGTTTCATAACATTTGGTTGAGGCAAACTAAAATAAGAGAACGGAAACGAAAAATTCGGCAATTTTTCCATTTGTAAAGGGGCATAACTCTAGAACGGTAAAAGTGACGCCACCAAAATTCAAACTTGATCAGTGTTTTGTGATAATAAGCATTGCATATAGGTTTCATAACATTTGGTTAAGGCAAACTAAAGTTAGAGAATGGAAACGATAAATTCAGCAATTTTCCATTTGTAAAGGGGCATAACTCTAGAACCATAAAAGTGACGCCACCAAAATTCAACCTTGATCTGTGTTTTGTGGTAATAAGCATTGTGTATAAGTTTCATGACATTTGGTTGAGGCAAACTCAAGTTAGAGAACGGAAACCAATTTTGGGACGTACGTACATATGGACAAGGGTAAAACTTTATGCCCCCTCCGCTACTGTGGGGGCATAAAAATGCACACATTGTTGTGCAAAGCATACCTGCAGGTTTTTCCAGATTTTTTATGGGGAGTCCTGGGACTCACATTTTTGATATCAGGAAAAAGTTCAGAGGCGGATTTAGGGGGGGCTCCCTTTTGTGGGAAAAATTTTGTTGATTATATAGGGAATCACTGAAGCATGACTGGAGTGGGCCCCCTCTTAGGCAGTCAGTGGGCCCCTCTTATGAAAATTTCTGGATCAGCCACTGTAGCTTTCTATCAAATCAAAAGCGCTCATAGTGTGCAATTTATCATTAACTAGATATGAAGTCATTCTATTAAGTAGAACCTGCGAAAAGTGTGATAAAGATATTTGTTGGGGTGACCATATTGCAATATTGCCACCACTCCTGCAATTATAGAGACATGAAGATAGTGTAGCATTTATTTTTTTCAAGTTCACATCATAATGAATCTATAATGTCACCACAACTTTGGCTATCTAATAAAAATAAGGATCCTGTATCTAAGCCTTGCTAACAACTTGTTACAAGGATCCAACAACACTTACTTTCTGTTCTGTTTATTATTACATCAGCCAATGAAATTTCAGCCTTCAAATTTTTGAAAGTATGTACAGTATTACAAATGAAATCAGAAATAAAATGCTCTGTAGGGTGCAGCTTGATATGACCAGAGGTCAAACCTTGAACAGTAGGGACAAGTATGGTAACAAAATTTCAAGCTTGATACAGCTCTGAATTTGGAATGATATCAAATATTTGACACAGCATAGGTTTCTGACACAGAATGAATGTGGTCTAATTCTAATGGACATTTTTACCTATTAAAAAAAATCTAGAAAAAAAAAATGTGATGGATATCAACATTGCTAATTAATTCAAAGTCGCTGGACCAACTAGTGGGTAGGGCCTCGAAACAGTTGAGAAACTGGGGCGTTCAGACAGCAATGTAACTTTATAGAAAATATTGTCTATTGTAA